ATCTCCTTCTTTTGCAGAGCTTTAAGCCCTCCATCTTACTCCTCCTTTGCCAACAGCTCTAAAAAAGTGCGCGAATACACCCAGAAGTAGGTCATGATTGCTAATATCCAAGGATACCATGTTTCTGTGGTTACCTTAGTACTCTCTCTTTTTTTCCTCCTCCCTCCTCCCTCCAAGCAAAGCTCAGCCCCCATTCTGCTGCTCCACACCAATGCCGCATTGCCAGCTACAAAGCCACTGCTCCTGATTTACACCTGTACTGCTGCACTGCACAGGGCCTGCACCACAGCTCTGGGCTCACATCTGAACCAGCGGTGCCCACGCAGAGATGTGGGAGTTGCAGGGTGCTGTGACTGGGTACCACACTGTGTCACTCAGGCTGTCCGTCCCCTGTCAGACTGCATCAGCACCTTCTCCCAGTGATGGACAGGATGCAGCGGTCAAGATCAGCCCTCCCAAAACCCCAGCCCAGCTACATTTGACAGGTGAGAGGTGGGGATAAGTGAGCTGATGAGTGTCAGGACATCCCCCTCACCCCAGGACATCACTGAGAGTCAATCTGAGAAATCAGATGCAGTGCTACAGCATTACAGAAAGCCCAATGCCCACCCGCATGGCTGAAAGGGATGTTTCTCTTGCACGTCTCCCAGCTAGTATGACATAGAATAGGCTCAGGCTGCGGACACAGAGACAGAGAGGCAAAGCTCAAGGCATAAACACAAAGCAAATCACACCGTGGCAGCTGTGTACAAAATGGGCCGGCTGTGCATTCGAAAGCATGAGAAAGGAGCTGGCTGTGTGCAGAAAAGCAGGCTTCTGAGATGTGACAATTTTAGCACTGATTCATCACAGGGTAAATTTGCCACAAGTGGGGCTGGGCCACAACATTTAAAGTGCTCTATACTAACTTGCATTTGGGCAGTTTTTGTATCAGACTTTTGCTCAAATTGGATGTTCTTTTCCCTTTTTTTTTTTTTTTCAGGATTCATGAATTGTAGAAGTTACTAAGACAGACAGCTTAGCAGCTGTGGCTCATTTTCAGCAGTCCTACAGAGCACAGTAGCACTGTTAAGCTCTCTGACTCTAAATTTGGGACATATTTGCCCTTACTTTTTTGTTGACATCAACATTTGTGCCCACCACCTCTCTCATTATACAACTCAGAGAGTGCCCACAGAACTGGGAAACACACTGGTCAAAACAACAGTGTTTGCAGCACTGTGAGCAGAGTTCCTGCTGGTACACACCAGCATATTTTAGGACCTTATGACAAGAAGCAACTGAATTACTGAATTCAGTCATGGTTGCAGAATTCATGTAATACTTGTTTAATCCAGAAGAGTCCAGATGTTATCTACTCCACTCTGAGCATTTCCCAGTGCCCTTTCAGCCACTCTCTGACAATATTTGCATAGAACTGTGTCTCAATTTTAACCATTTTATGTACCTGCCATATTTTAAGCAACTTTCCACTTTGTCAAATGAACACGACTGTCCAACTTTTTCCAAACTCATATAACCTTCCTATCTGCCTTCCTGTGCTGTCAGCCCAAGAATCACCTCTTGGAAGTCAGCCTATTAAAACTTAAGCTGTAAACATTTTGACTTTTAATTATAGTTATTCAACATATGTATTGGAGAATCTTCAGGATTTGGGCTCAGTGTGCTAGCTGCTCTGCAAAACAGAAGCTGGTAAAAAACAAGTCATCACATAAAATGGGTATTGTAACCACATTGAGCTATTGTGGACACATAAGCTTTTCAAGGAATTCTAGGCAAAAAAAGACTATCATATTATATCACAGCCCACTAGCTTCCACCCAATATCAACTGTTCTGAATCTCAATAAAGTGTATATTTAACTGAACCTCTTGGAAAGGAGTTTAGCCCTGATCTGCACTTCCAAAGATGGAAGATTTGACACCTAAAGTTTGCTGCAGTCAGAAATCATTCCCACTGTTAAAATAAAATTTGTTTCTGATTTTTCATTTAAATTTGTCTAGTTGGCTTCAGTTTGCAACTACTGTATCTTATTATACTTTTCTCCACTAAATTAAAGTGTTCTTTAATACCTGGCATTTTCTCATCTTGAAGATACTCACACTCTAATCAAGCCACTTCTCAATCTTCTTTTTGATAATCTTAACAAGTTAAATGTTCTGAGTCTCTTACTGGAAAGTAATACCTCAAATTGTAATTCTAATTTTCTCAATGCGTTTTTGGAACTCTTTCCTGCAATCTCATCATTTCTTTAACATCCTACTGAAAACGTGGACTCTAGGGCATTTTCCAGTAGCCCACTAGAGCTGTCACCAATGCCATTTGCAAAAAGGAAAAATCACTTTACCACAAAAAAATTATTATTCCCCTTTGTACTCATCCAACAATCACATTTAGCCCTCTTTTTAAATTAATATGTGTCAGCCATTGAGCTGTCCACTCAATTATTTATGGATTTTTATTTGTGATTTGTCTAGATATACTGATTTTAAATGTTCACTAAGTCACACACTCATTTTGACATCTCCAAACCCTGAACGTCAAGTAGTCACTTTAAGGATGCATTTTTCCATCTATGTGTTTATAACATACAATAATGCAGCTGTACATGCCTCTCAACCTGTCCCTTCTCAGCTCATACAGCTCACCATCCCCACCACGACCCAGAGCATTCCATGTCTGTGTTATCCTAACCAAACCCAAAAAGAGCTCAGTGACAATGCAACTTTTCAAATTGCATGATTCTGGCACTGAACTGAGAGTCAGTATCTCAAACAAGTTTTGCCTCAGAGAAAAGGCCGTGGGTTGCCCCTTCACAGAGCGCAGGATGATGTGATGAGCAAGGAAGGAGGCACCTTTCATACAGAGACACAGCAAGGGAGTGGGACAGAGGGCCAAATTGTGCAGCAGCCTCACCAGATGATGAAAAAGGCTGGAGACATGCAGGCAGAGGAGCTGCTGTGCTGTAGTTTTTTTGTGCAAACTCTCCTTTTTTTTTTCACCTTCATCAGCTTCTGTTCTTCAGCTTGTCACTGATTGCCATACCTTTTCCTCTACCCTACTCTCCCCTACAATGTCCCTTCTCCTACTGCTTTTATCCTCTACTGCAGTTATTTCCACTCATTTCCAATTAAGTTCGCTCTGCTCTGCCAAAGCTCTTCCTGGAAACAACATTTTTGCTGCTGCTTTCACAGCTTTCTCCTGGCTCCTGTGTGTCACCCCCCTGCCCTGTGTCCTCCTCCTCCAGAGTGTTTGAATGCCTCTGGGGGAGGGACCGCCTGGAGCTGTGTTCTCCCAGTCCCTGAGTAACATGGCCCCCCTGCTTCCTAATTTTATTTTAGCCAATATCCTAATAAATGTGACTAAATGTAGCAGTACTGTGATGTCTAGTAGGAGAGACTGATGAAATAATTGTGTAGCGGGGATGAAACAGCCAGGCTGATGGCGGAGCAAAGCAAGCATGAGCTGTGCCAGCCTTACATAACGTTGCAGGCTGAGTGAGAAGCACCCAGAAGGAATTCATTCCTTATCTCACACTTTCCTCCCCCTTTATTATTAAAAAAATAAAAAGATTACTTTCCTTTCCTACTGCCGCATGCCTGGTGTGTGTGCCCAGACTCTCAGTGGGGCAGGAGAGGTGGCTGCAGCTCTGCACCAGCACAGCTCTCGCTCCAGCTCTGATCTCACAGTTTGCTGGCTGTAGAGTCAGGTGTCGCTGCTAAAAAACAGTCCTCTGCCTTCTAATTCATGCCAGCTTTTTTTCCCATCTTGCGGCAGATAAGAAATATAATTTGAGTTTCAATATGTGGCTGGGGGTGCTTCTATCATTAATTAGTTATAACCCTTGCCTGGTGCTGACGCTTACGCTGCTTTAGATGGCTGATATTTGCTCACCACCTTTCTGAAAGATTACAAAAAAGCCATGAAAATGAGAATGGGGGGATGGACAGACGGACAGATGAGGGATGCCTCTATTACAAGGAGTGAGTACAGAAAGCTTGGATTAGGGTGAACAGCTGGTGTGGATTCAATAATCAACTGCTCTGAAAGAAAAGCCTATTTTTTCTCATCCCATGGCATTAGAGAACAGGATACCAGAGCTGCCAACCTTACAATTGAAATCTGCCCACGCAGAATAGCAAATTCCCCTTGGCTTGCATTTAAATGCTCCTGGCTCATTATAACTCCATACAGCCTTTAATACATACATGTGGTCGGCATATTATCCTGCAAACAGAATGCTGCACTGCTTCTCTCAGCACGTCTCTGCCTTCATTTCAACACCAAAGGGAGGGACAGGGTGGGGGGAGAGAAAGGAGGACAGGCAGCTTATCGAGTTTACAGCTGCTGCTAAGAACATTGGTTTGATCCTCACTGCTGGTTAGGACTCATTTCCACAGCAGGCAACAGGCAGCGGGTCAGGGCATTGAGCATTGGCTGGATGGGCTCAGGAGGTCACTGTTTGGGATAACACGGCCTGTGACAGGCCACAGGAAGGCATCCTGGCCTGCACCCACAGCTGCCAGCATGCAGCAGGGAGAGCAGTCAGTATATAAGCCTGCATCTGAAAAACAGGCTGTTTATTTCCCCAGATCTTCTAGTAATGATAAACACGGCAAGGTTACCAAAGCTTCCTCCAGCAGCAGCAGCAGCACCTACTGTTCACTCTCCTTGTGCTTCCTAATAGCAGGACTCCATCCTGGCCCAGGGGAACAGCCCCAGAGGCCGAGATAAACCCCACCCCGTGCTCAGTGTCCCTGGCTGCAGAGCTGCCCGCTGCTGGGGATGGGCTGTGACCCAAAGAGCAAGAGTTCATCTGAACGTGATGGTGACAAATGGGACACCAACCAGCTGCCAAGCAGGAACATTTCTCACTGCATCCCGCCAGATGCAAACAAGAGGTGAAAAGCTCTATACATCATGCGTGACCCCATGAGCCAACTAGTCTCTCTGCTTTTCAGCAGGAGTAGAGAAAATTTTATTTTTTAAATGCCCTCTTTATTTTGGCACATCAGCACGAGAATGGCCAGAAACCTCGTTGCCAGTGATTTTGATTTGTAACAGGAAACCGAATATTCAGGGGCAGAGAATCTGAAAGCTTGGACCACAATCTTCCCTCAAACTCACTACTGATACTCATGTCATGTTCCTGTTCATTCACAACCCTGGTTTTGAAGGGAGAGCAGTGCTTGTCCCTGCTGCCCCAAATGCAATGAGAAGAACGGAAGGGGCTGCACTGAAATGTGTCAGCTTGAGTCCCCCCTGTTCTTCTCACCGAAAGGAAAGGAAGATATTAATGCAGATGATTTTGTTACATAAATACATGTTGTATCAGGGCCATTTTTAGCATTTGTGGGGGTGTGAAGAACTCCAAGCTGCGTATCTATTTCATAGGATTCAGCTGAACTGAGAAAAAGGACAGAGAGTTTTAAGGTAAAACATCAAGATACATTTTGTTTAAACCCACGCAATTCTGTACAGTGCTCCAAATGACAAAAAAGATTTCTCTAGCACCTCTCTGGCCTCAGTATTGCTTTGTAATGTTTTGTAAAAGAAAGACCTCTTAGTATAATTTGATAAAATTAAGGACAAATTAGTCATCAAATTTCAAATAATAAGTGTGCCATTTGGCATCAGACATTTTCAGTTTCTTTACATTCTGCATGGCTAGAACATTCAATTAAAATAGAATTTGAAAATCCAGAAACCTAATTTGTTGTTTAATCTCAAAGTCACTTAGACTTCAAATAGATAGATTTCTATTCAGGAAAGAGCCTGTTTTTGAATGAAGAATAAAATCTGGGGGCTTTTTTATCAAATCAAGCTCACACAATACAAAATTCCTCTTGACTTCTGAGCAGTTTTCTATCATCCCTTTCACCTCAGCTTCACATCCACTCCAATTCTGGACTGAACATGGCTCACAGTGCCCTTGATATGTCCATCAGTGCAGAAGCTAATGGCAGTCCCACTATGGCTGTGCCAGCTGGGGACATATTACATCCACCCCAAAAATGTGCTCAGTTTCTTCTGTAGGCATAAGTTGAGCATGGTTGAGATTGGCATGGGAAAAATTGGATTTTGCACTCCTTCCACTTGGAAGTGTCCAGCAACTGGAGAAGCAATGTGATCCTCCAAGGTTTTTTGCCTGTAAATGTTTCTGAAAAGAAAAAAAAATCTTGTTATCCATATAGTCGTGTAAGAACATTTTCCTTCTGGACAGGGAAGAAGCTTTTGGAAATCATGTGTCACTTAGAGAAAGGCACTGTCAAAAGGAAGTTTCCATGGGATTACCAAGTGCTGTAGTTTTTGTTTCTCAGGTTCCAAAAGTATCAGACTGTTTGGAAAGGAAGAACAAATAAAAGGACAGAAAAACCTAACTTTTCATAAGTCATCTGAGCTTGGAAAACTGGCTTATTTCTGAACAGTGCCTACACTCTATGTTTGTTAAATCCCATCATGCAATCCACAGGGTAGACTCCAGCTGGGTCACTGATAGCTACATGGTGCTCAAAACTAGAGGGAGAAGGAGTTACCTAAAAACAAGTTTAATTTATTACTTGGAACATCCCTGACAGCCTTGGCTCAGAGTATTTTATTAACATGGAAAAGAATTTTGGTTAAATTTCATTAAATCAGACTAAGGTATGTCCATATTTTGTACACTTCACATTTCAGAAACTCAACTTTTCTGCAACAAATGTCAAGCTCCTCAAACTGATGCTTACCCAGAATCTGCTGCCCCCTTTAAATTACTGCCCCAAGAAATTCATTCAAACCTCCCTCTGAACTAGTGGTTTGAATGGAAAAGATGTCAAGAATTCATTTTACTAGTTAAAATAGGGCTTCCTGGTGGTACAATAACAAAGAAGACTCAAAAGCCCCAAATTTGTACCTCTATACTCTGTCTCCTCATTCAGTTGATCAGTTTACCTTGGATTTACTCCAGAGACACTCAACTCCAGCTGAAAACCAATTCTGCATGTAAGGGAGAGAAAGATTTACTGTTATTGCTCAGTATCCATCAAACAAGGAGACAAGATAAATGCAATATATCATAGCAGTAAGGATACCTGGGTGACCCAGTAGACTCTAGGGCCCAACTTTGGTAGTGGTGTTAACAGCAGGAGGTTGTTCAGGAATTTGGAGAGATTTCAGACAGATCATAATCTGTGAGAAACAATAAAGCTGCTAAAACTATGCTTTGCACACGCTAACTGCCCCAAACCATAATTTCTCCTTTTGGAGGAGGAAATAAAGTGAAGATCTTCAGGATATGCATCTTCAGACAAAGAGTAATATCCATTTACAGTAATAATGCACTCAGCATGAGAGAAAATCCCAGTAAAATAAGGAAAGTCTCATCATTAGGAACACTTCAACTTGATACAAAATAAGATGTATGGAAGAAAAATGCTTCCAGTACCAACTGTGAGGACAGTTAAATACACTGGGACAGGTCTTTTCCACCTTTTGTTTTCACTGCACACATACTATTTCCTTGATACACCTGTTTTCTCTAACTGCTTGCAACACCACAAAAGCTTTTCAACTGACAATAAAGAATTCGCAAAATCCAGACCTGACCAAACAAGTCACTGTCAAGCAGATTAGAAATGAACAGAAGCTGCAAACAACTACAACATCATCTGAGAGTGCTTCTCTGCATTACAAAAGAGAAAATAAGCAAGGTACAAAAAGAAGGGAGAATGCAGCTCAATGCCTTCAGCATGTGGCTTGGTAGCAGGATCAGATGAACGCTGGAGTTCATGAAGATTTCACCACATTCAATACCTGTAGTGGCAGTCCCAGCTGGATACAAGACCTCCACAGGCCAGCTGGGAGCAACTGTAGGCATGATGGTACTCCAGGTACCTCAACAGTGTCCTTCACTTTAGGTGCTCGAGTTAGGAGCTTTGAAGTTCTTGGTCCCTCTCTAAGACAGGAAAACCGTGCATCAAGAGGTATTGTTTGCTTTGTCCCCATGGTCATTTTCCATGGCAGCAACTGCAGCATAAGCAGAAGTCACATCCTTTTTCCCCATCCCATACCATCACATGGAGAGCAATATGGATTGGGTTCACTATCTAGGATGGAAGAAGCTCTTCTGAAACAAAACCAACCAAACTACCAAACAAAATCTGCAGATACTGGATAAACCTAATCAGCGTAGTGGAGGGAACAAGCAGTGCCCTGACAATGGGATCACTTTTTTTCTCTGGAGAAATAAATCAACCTCATGAGTTTCTGTTAAGAATAGAGAGGTGAATTGAACCATTCTGGAGAACTCTGACAGATTTCTCAAGGGCTGGGAAAGTCTGAAGAGCAGCATGAACTGACGCCAGAGAGGAAAACAAGTAAGTCACAGAATCATAGTATATCTATGAGAAATAGAATGACCTCCACTCTTCTTTCCTCATCTGTCATTCTTAGAAGGAGAGAGGAAAAAAAGCATTTTTTACTATGTGACTTTAGATCTTTTTCAACAGACACAACAGAATATATTTTGTTGTCGTAACCTACAGCCGTCGGTGGTTACCTTTGTCCCAGTGTGTGGCTTCCCTCACAGCACTGTACAAAAATGACATTATAAGGACAAAGACACAGAATTAATTTAATCACTTTAATACATTATTTTCCTAATGACGAGTGCTTCAGTGTGCCCATACAAGAGTTTAAGGCATAAAGTTTCCTTCGATAAATGTTTTTCTCTTTATTCTCATGTATCTACCCTAGACTCTTCATCTAGGCATTAATGTATATGAATAAATTCCCATCGTGTTGTTTTGCTATTGTCATACATGGCTGTACACACACATTTTTGCCTCGTCAAACACGATCAAAGCTTAGCTGTATTTGATAAATATTGCCTAAATTCTATTTGATAAATGCTCCCTCTAAGATCTTTCCTCTACAGCGTGAAAAGTCAATGCCCTAATTTTAAGTTGCCCTTTGAAAGCAAGCCAATATTCAGATGGATATCGACTCTGGGCCTGCTGGTTGTTCTGCAGCAGTATTTGGAAGGCTGCTGTTTTAATGAATGTGCTAACATTTGATACACACACAAACAAAATCAATAGCACTATTTTTAAAAAGCATGTGGCTTTACTAAGTACATTGACACTACCCTGTTGTTCAGAAGTTTACTAGAAACCTCCCTATATGACTAAATTGATGCATTTGGCTCATTTCTCTACTTGCTTGCCAGAATGCATAATATGGGACTTCAAGGACATTGAAAGTCAGCCTCTGCTGCAGAAAAAAAAAAAAAAACTTGTTTAAGTTTGAAGTGATGTGATAGCCTGTACCTGAAACTCCCCTGCAGTTGTCAAATCTTCCTATTTCTTCTCACTATTGTCGCAGAAGAAACCAAAGCTTTCCACATCAGAAATTCCTGGTTCTGTGGCTTCTGAAGGAACTTGGTGACTCTGGGCAGAGAATAAAATGTACTTATAGCCAATGTTGAACAAAGTCATTCCTGCTCTTTTGTCTTCAGTAGGAAAATACATCAAGGTCCTTGAATCCAAACCTTGAATCTGCCATAGCCCATCTGCAGTCAGTAGCTGTTTTCCAAGCAGTGACTAAAAATATCCAATCTATGTGAGTGAACAGGCTACAAACCTCAAAGGGAGAAGAGTGTGTAAAAAGTAAATCCAGATGAAATTCTAATGCTGTGTGTATATACAAAATTTTGAGAGGTGACAATTTTGAAATTTTGTATATATAAAATGCTTTGTGTATATATAAAATTAGTTATACATTATATATATAAAACATAGGCATTCTCATCAGAGTTTCAGAAGATATTCACTTCATGGAAAGTTTGATAATTCAAAGCTTTACAAACAATATTTTTTCATCCAGTGAGCAATTAGACAGTGAAAGTCATTGTCACAGCCTGTTAGCCAAGTGAAGAATAGAAGATTCAAAAGGAGATGAGGTATTTTAATGTGTTAGAAATATGAAATAAGCACAAAATAAAACAATTTTCAAGTGAACATAAATTACTGTGCACGTAATGGAGCATTAGCAAGGAGCTTTTCTTAGTGGCAGATTACCACCATTTACCTTCTATGCTGCTGCTTCTTGCTTCATCCTTCTTAAATACCTGGTGGGGTCCTGGCCAGGCAAAACACTGGGAAGACTGGGTTGTGGTCACACAGCAACTCCTACCTCCTTAATGCACTCCCCTCCTGTGTAAGAATAACTCAGACTATACAGACTACTCAGACTGCTTTATGGGTTCATGCCTCTGAGCAGGAGGCTTATGGCTATGTTGCTCTCCAAGATGCCCACAACCCCACTGGCAATGCGTGCAAAGAAGCCCATGCCACAGCTGCAACTCTGCAAATCTTCTGCCTTGCTAGTTAGCTCAAAGCCTCTGATGATGCCATTGCTGCAGCAGTCAGCCCAGATCTGCCATGATACTTTGCACTAAAATGCCACTATTCCCATTTGAAAGAGACACTTGACATAAACAGAAAAGAACTGAATTATTCAACTTACTTGTATCAAGCAAGGAACCAAGGCCAGTGTTTTTGAGCCCTAATAAACTGTTTTAACCATACCTTCAAAGACACTGCAAAATTAGACTGCGTTAGCCCCTCTGCATCTATAAATGTCTGATACTGGAAACACAGAGAAGAAAAAAACTATTCTCCCCTGGACACCCAAACAACATCGCGCAAACAGGAAAGAGTGGGAGGGCAATCTCCAACACAGGTCTTTCTAATGAAAATGTATTTGTGAAACAACCCAATGAGGAGTTGGCAGGAGAACACAGGAAGCCATCTATCGATCCACAGCTCCTTTGGCCCCCACATGATTCAAACTGAAGCAGCAGCTTCTTACAAGAAGCTCAAAGCTGTGCATAAAGGTGATATGCCATGACACTGTGCAAACAACATAGTGGTGAGGCATCAGAGGCAGCACTGACCTTGGCTGAAGAAAAGACCCCAGCAGAAGAACAGAAGCCAGTAGAGTCAGAATGGTTGTCAGTGTCATGGCAGGACACAGCAGCAGTGACAACTGCAGACAAGCACACTTGTAGCTGCACCCAGATCAGCTCGCTGAGTTGTGAACATTTGCTGAATTGTTCCCCACACTCTTCTGTCTCATATTATTTAATCCACCTCAGTAAATGCAGCCTTCAACAAAAAACTCAAACTATTACAGACCGTTCCATGGTTTGGGCATCACATCAGGGTGTCTAGCACGCAGATATTAGGTTATCTTCTGGGCAGGTATTCATCAAATCTAACCTGATAGAGTACCAGCTAATTTTTCTCTTCAGCTGACATGCCCTTCCACACGTAAGCAATATAAATGTGCACATTTCTGAGCAGATCAGTAGACAATATCACCCAGAACGAGGGCTGTGCTGAATTTTTGAGCTCCTTCTAGTCCTCAGGCAGTTTGTTCAATCATGATTCATTTTAAGCAGATGATTTCCACCATGATGGACAATTTCTTCCTCTTATATTACATGATCTTTCCAACTATAGAGGAAATTTTGGCACCTTTCTTTTTTTTTTTTTGCAGGATACATCCTGCAGGTTGTAAAGACTCCTCTGGATTATTATAATCAAGGAGATCCCAGAAAGGAAAGAACTGCATTATTTATAGGCTCAGGTTTTTATAAGAAATATATAGAGGTTGAGATCAATAGGCATTTCTCTAAGATCTAGTACACATAATTTACCACTGCTACAAAAGAACTAATAGCAGAAGGCATTAATGTACATTACCCAAAATCACAGATTTGATTAAAGCACTAAGAACACTTCCTAGAGGCTCAGTTGAGACGCTTTGTAGAGCAAAATACCTGACAACAGTGGTAACAGCCATTCAACGAAATGAGGCATGAGGATGAGAATAAGGATCCCGTGGCCCAAACCAGCACATATTCAATGTTTCTAGTGAAGGGAGGATAGCAAAATCTGCCCTAACAGCAATGGGCAATATTGTAGGAGTAGGCCTACAGAGGAAGAAGATCTGTGAGAACAGAATAAGGCAGAAAAGAGATGTGAAAATGGCCTAGATGTTGTTTGTTTCTATAATAATTGGACAAACAAGATTGTGCGTGCATTTGTTGTAAACACATGATTTTGCTTAGCATAAACCTATTCCAAAACATTCCAAAGGGGAAAATAAAAGGAAAAGCAACCTGTAAGGGCTCTGAATACTCACTAGCCATTCAGGCCAGAAGAACCACAGTGCCCGAAGAACATCTCATCATCTCCCCCTGCTTGCATTGCACTTCTTACTGGCAGCCCTTTCACCTGGCTCCTGATGGTGAGGGGATACCCATGTAGGGATCCCACATTGTTACATTCTGCAGGGAGTGTGCTGCATTGGGATGAGCAGGACAGCAGCATACATCTCATGCTGCAGTGCTGACTGCTGAAGCTGAAACTCTGGCTCACATTTAGCCAAGCATCAACCAACACCCCCAGGTTCATTTCTTCCACACAGTCTTCCAGCCATGCAGCCACTCTGCCCCAAGCCTGTAGCATTGCCTGAGGTTGCTGTGGCCAAAGTGCAAGATCTTGCTGAGTTTGACACATCATGTCTGATGGCCAGGTTTCACCAAAAGGAGTTAAAATTTATCACTTGGCAATTAAGGAAAGCTGCAGAATCACCTTGAAGCTGATGTAAGTCACGGGACTCCTTAAATCTCTTCCACACAACCTGTGAGCAGCACACAGACGCTTTTTCTCCTCAGCAGCCTGAACCCAGCTAACTGCTGGTTCCTCCATCTTGGCAGCTCTCTGTCCAGCTCTTGTGACTTTGGACATGCTCCCCTTTGGCCTGGCAGAATAAAATGTGACTACTTTTGTGCCAGCTCAGCATGCTGAAATAGCAGAGCACCAGGGCTGACAGCACTTAAATGACTTGAGGGAGGAGGCAGGGGGCAACAGCAGGGGGAAGAGAGAGCACAATCATGGCAACTAGCTGTTATATGGCTGAGGCTGTTGTGGTACTATAGGCCAAACTGTGAAAAGCAATAGTTTTCTTTTTGTGAAATGAAGGCACTAATGCCAATTAATGGAGATGTGGCAACATTTCTGGTATATGTCAGTGACCTAAACATCTGCTGCTACACTGCAATAGAAGAAAAAAATTACTTGGACTATCTAGCATCTAAATTACTTGCTTTCTTGTTAACTGATGAACTTCTTGCAAGATACACTTTCTTTTTATAGAGCATCTTATTGAGAATCTGAAGCAATTCTTTGCAGGCGACAATATACATTCACTGCAAGTGGGCACTAGTGCAAATGAAGCTGCTAGTGCAGAAAAAATTACACCTCCTGACAAATAGCCTCTCTCTGTATTAGCAATTTCTTAAAATAACCTGTTCTCCGCAAGCTGAATTTCATGTTCATGTTTGAGCTGAACACTGAGAGCGCTACAGGAGCTGTAGAGGAAGCCTGCCACTGTGCTGCACCACCTCAGCTCAGCCCTGCTGAGCATGGGAAGACCAGGCTCCAGAACTGGTGGGTTCCCCCAGCTGGCAGTAATACCAGGGTATTACATAGGCATTTGGACATCCCATGGCACCTCCTTATCTCAATGAATTTAACTTCACAACACTCTTCTCAGTTGGTTATTGCATTGGTTTCCCTGAGCAGAAGTCAGATATGTTGTAGTGAACAGTTAGTTAAGGCATGAGTGTGTCAGCAGCAAGACAATGAGGGGAAAAGCCATGGGTTTTGTAACAAAAAGGAACAGGAAGAAAAAAAAAGAGAGAAAAGGGAAGAATCATGAAAGGGAAGATCAAAATGAAAGCAAATACTGGGGGTAGAATAGAAATATGTCTCACAGGTCTTCATCCCAGGTTTCTCACTATCACAGCAACAGTCTCACGTAAATCTCCTAAGCTCAATCTCACAGTTTTTTACTTTTTCTGAACCCCCCTACTCCCATTGGAAAGTTATTTTGAAAGCCCACTTTTCCTGTGGCTAGAAGCCTTTTAATTTCCAGCCTAATTTTATTCACAGCCATATGTCCATCTGTTCTTGTGCCAGCTTTGTACTGTAGCTTAAATACTTTTTCTCCCTCAGTGATGTTAACCTCTCAGTTCTGGTTTCATGCTCATCTTAGCTGGTTCTGTGTATGAACTGCTGTCAAGCAGGTATTCCCTCACCTCCCTGCACATGGTAGCATGGACACATCTTGCCTCTCTGCCCATGACAATGGGGTGACACTGCCTCCTCTGTACTGGCACTAGGGCTGCTGATGACAAGTGCTACCACTAATGCTCATACTATAGCTGACGTGATGGCCAACCAATTGAGAAAACTCAACCAGCTGAAAATCAGCCCAGAAAAGATCCCTTCCTGATCCCACAGTTATTCAACCACTGGGACAAGGTAGGTATCAGGAATACGCAACAAGGAAAGAGAAAGGTGAAAAAACCCAGTGCTGACAGCTTAAACACTAACCAGAGCAAATCAGTTGTGAATCCATACCTAAAAAGAAACAAGAATTCATTCTTATGCTTTCACAATGCTGGATAAGAAGTCATACTTCTAATTTCTTCTTGTCAGGTACTTTGTCTGCTCTCCCCAGATGGCCTCTGCATTTCTTCCTGCTGGAGCGTGTTGTGAACTGACCTGCACACGCTGTTCTGGAGTTGATCTCACAGGCATTCATGCTTTCCCTTTCTGGGTTAGAAAAAAGTTAACCTGACTTGTCCTTAGATTCCACTGAGAAAGACAATGAAGAGATATGAGAGATCAAATGGGGAAGGCAGAGAAAGAGGGCACAACTGTAATCTGGGATAAAAGCAGAGCCCAAAGGTTTCCAACAGTCCTGGAGATTCACGCAGCTGAACCTGCCCAAATGTGCTCTTGGGACTTTTAACTTCCCTGGAGAAATGCTTACTTAATCAAAAACTTTCCCTGGTTAGTTGTTTGAGCATCACAGTAGCAGGTAGAGAAGTGGGATGGACCGGGCAATGGTAGAGCCTGAGCTAGTAACTTCCTTACATCAGACGGATGCCTCTGCTGTTAAGTGCAAGAAATGCCTAACCACTTACGTGTGCACTCAGTCATACGTTTATGCATGTTGTTGACACAGAGTCTACAAGTCCCTCCAGATCATATTATGTAAAATGCAAGAGGTAAACAAATGAACAGATTTCAGAAGAGTAGTAGGAAAAAATATAAGGAGAAAACCTTAGATGAGGCATTTTTTAAATGATTTTAAATGCTAACATCTGACAGGTTAGCTGGTCTCGCCCATAGTCATGCAGCACAAGTGATATTTCTCCATGGGTCCTTTGTTTTCAAGAAGGATGTAAAATTCCCAGAGTACCTCTGAGAATTCAGCACTGAATCACTTCACACCTGATGACAAAAATACATCCAGACAGGATGTTCTTCAGCCAAAGGACGTCCCTCTGCCTAGCAGCTGAACTGTACAAACCGCGTGGCAGCTTTGACGCAGGACCCTAATCCCAGGAGCTGTGTGATAGGGCTTGCCTGAGGCCACGGACTGGCAGAACGATGAATCTGCAGCCTCCATGTGCAGAAGTTTCCTCTGGATCATGTCAATCACACATGGAAAACACTACCACTTCCTTCCTTCTGCCTCACAAATTGCCTGGCCTGGGGCTGTATCTCTGTCAGAAAAGGGCTCGCCAGCATTGGGCAGCACTCCTGCAAAGAGGCGCAGACTTCCTGGTGCGTGATGTGGTGGCTGTGCTGGGCAGGCCCACGTGGCAGAGTCACTGCACACCCACAGCCCACCCAGGCCTCATGCATGCAGTGAGCCTTGCCTGGGGGACGCCTCAGCTACATGCATACATGCAGTGACGCTGCTCTTTGTCTGCAAACACCATCTGGGATTTCTGGGCTTCTTATTCTGAGTGGTAAAAGAGCATGTCAGGGGAAACGTGGATGGCCCTGCAGTCAAATGTCTGCGTTCAGATTTTTCTGCTAAGGTTTTGCCTTTTGGAATATGTGAAATCTTTCCCTTAGATTATCTTTGCCTGATTGCAGAAATAACTATTATTTCATAGAAACAACTCCCCTCACACATACACAAAAAGACGAAGACAGCTAGGAAATACATAGGAGTTACTTCTAATTCTGTTTTAGAAAACCCTACAAATGTGAAAATAACCTAATCCTTAGATTTAATGTCATATTAAGGGACCAGAGAGATACACAGTTGCTCTGCGTCTGGATTATCTGATGAAGTAAGGCCCAGAAGTACTGCTTGCCAACCACATACATAAACCTGGTTTATCACATTCTCCACAAAGTAGATTATATTTTTGTGGTGCCCTTATCCACATGTTCAATCATCGGGACTGCATTACCTTTCCCAGTGACCTTCCTACTGCTCTTCCAAATTAAACAGCCAGGCATTAGTCCCCAGCTTCAGCTCAGATAATTGGCTGTGGTACAGGTGGTGCAACCAGGGGAAGAGCTTGGTAGTGGTGACAAGGTCACTTACCTCAGAGGAGAGGAAAAGCCTCAGCAAAGACCTTCACCTTCAACCTGCTGTGTATCACCACAGAGGCTCCACCACTCAGAGCACTTTGTGCTGAACCAGGGTTCTTCCAAGAGCAGCATGAAGCACCTGAGAGAAAGGGAAAACAAACAGCAGTTTCCCCACTGCTGTTCTAATTAAATCGTTAATTAGGTATGTGCAAGTGTGGATGAGTTGCTGCAGACTGAGTTTGAAATCCTCATGCTAGTCAGAAAAAAAGACAATGGAACAGATTTAGGTTCAGTTTGAATTTCGTTGGAATCTTACTATTTTATCTAATAGGATTTTCTCCTGTGCTGAAGGACTTTACCAGTTTTACAGGTGTTACAGCAACTCATCTCCTTGTTCTCATTTAGCTGTTTGAGCTGTCAAATCTGGGGCATCTGTTTCTTCTGCCTACTAATCCATGTCCCTTTGGCAGCCTGTGCTATCCCAAGGCAGACTTCAGATCCAAAAGAAACCCTCAGAAAGATCCTTCCTGCTGAGTCCTAAAAAAAGGCAGACTACAAATGCTCGCTATTTTACATTTTATCATGTATGTTAAAGAAGAGGAATGTATTTTGAATGAGCTAAAAACTCATATTTTAACATTCATAATAGTTGATAACTACATTATAACAGAAATTCCAAGATATTTGAGAGCTCTTACCATATTGTCCCAGCTGTGTTATCTGTAGAGAACACGATACAGCTATGATGATGAAGCTGCTATGATGGCTAAGTATATTCAATTATCTCTGCTAGTTCTGTCTCTCCTGTCCATACTCTCCAATTTATCTCAGCAATTGCTAAATATTTTAAGCTTCTTAAGTTAATTCATGCATGCATTACAAATAAGCATGTTGAGGAAAAATATGGCTATTTTATCTACCTTGACCTATGAGAGTGAACATACCACTAATCTGTGTACAGCTGTAAGACAGGTTCCTTCTCCCCTTACCCTTCCCCTTCAAAAAACAAACTTTAGAAAACGGGTTATGTGAACACATGGATTTCTATAGGGAGCCCATGGAACAACGTGTACATTTGCAGGTTCGCAGTAGACTCCCACAGTCTTGTCCTCATGCACATAATAGGAGCTGGGCCAGTAGAGAGGCTAAATGGGGAACAAATGGATGGACAGCAAAGATGATGTTGGTTGAAAGTGCAAGAACCTCTTTCTGTTTCTTTCAAAGGTTTATGCATAGTAATTCTTCACCATTATGATGTATGTAGCATATATATGCATGATATGCTTGCTAAAGAAACCCTGTCTGTCATCACCAGAGAGGCCTGCATAAGTGCCTTTATTCCAAGAGCCCATTGGAGTTTAGACAGTATGGCATCCATGAGTGAGGAGAAAGAACACCAGCTCTTATGGTAATGAAGATTACAGTGAAGAATGAATGGGATGAATGCCTGGTGGCTTATCCACTGACAGCAATTCAGAGGATTTTCCCTTACAACAGCAGCTATAGCTAGGTTTCACTAGTTTTCTCTGCAAACCACCTTAGCAGTTTCACAACCAGGCCGAAAAAGATCTACATGGAGATAAAACCCTTATACCATGCTTCTAAGCAAATGTAAAAAAGGGCCCTTGTTTCTCTGTGAAACAGTCAGAGGTGAAACAAAAAAGCCCTGCAAATACACATATAAAAAGCTATATAGCTAGTGTCTGAGTTGGTACTCCAAGAGCTCTACGAGTCAGCTAGATTAAGTTAATTTATCCCATCTGCTAATTAGGCTTGTGAAAATTAACATCTATTTTCTAGCACTTTCAAGCCAGTTTGTAGCAATCTGCAGCAAAATATGTATATATTTTCTGTTAAGTACTGTGGGTTGTCTTTAGAATCTGATAGAGGTGAATGATACCCATTCACTTCCAGAGGTCTTCTCCTCAAGAATTTAAAGTGGCAATTGGCAACAGTAGTTCTTCCATCCCTTCCTACACAAGCTCTTCACAAGCAGTGAGGTTTTCAACACTCCTCTTGCTACAGTGGAGAAATAAAAGACGTTGCTGAAATGTCTGTCACTCTACAGACCATTTATCAGTCCTGAGAAAATTTTTGGTCTGAGAAATAAATAAATAAATAAATACATACATACATACATACATACATACAATTCTTTTTTTCTCCTGATATTTTGTTTTCATAATTCTTGTTGTATCAAGTTGTACAATAATTCCAAATTATTGTACCAAGAATTCCTTGAAAACTATAAAAGGCATCTTCATATTGCTGCCCTGGGAAGTGATGGAGTCACCATCCCCCAGGTTTTCAAGAAAAGGATAGACATCACACTGAGTGACATGGTCTAGACTGGTCACAGGCATGGGTTGATGGTTGGACTAGGTGATCTTATTGTCTTTTCAACCTTAACGATTCTATGATTCTATGATTTACAGAGTTATTTGTAGAGCAAGACAATGTTTAACCTGCGTGTCCTCACCAGCTCTACCCTGAGTTTATGGTAATGGAGCATCCATCTTTACCATCCAACGAGGTGATTATAGCCTTGCTCACAACCTTTGCCTTTGAAGGCATGGACCTGAAATATTGCCCCCTCTGAGGAAGAAGAGAGATCATGGGAAAGCTGACAGTACTGTCAACATTCTACTAACTGTGAGCATGAAGCCTGTCTTAGGAAATTAATACCAAGCATCTCATTTAAGTGGCATTTTGTTTGGGACAAAAGCCAAGAAGTATAAATATTGGTTTGGTCTATTCATCACTCACATGACTGAGCCCTTTGTTTTTAGCCTGTGATGAGCGGTAAGGATAGAAAATCAGCCCCAGCTTTGAATTTCCTGCCTTTTGTCAGATTATGTCACACCCATAATATTATTCAAGTGGGGGGTTTTGTGTGTAACAGATAAATGTCGACAAAGCCCCATCTAATGCCTTTTAGGTTGCTAGGAAACCAACTCTGTAGCCACCACAGAGATATCTCTGGCTAGGGGCTCAGATAAGCTCTGACTTGTTTTGATTAGGTGAGCTTTATTACAGAAAAGACAGCAGCCTGCTTGACATCATGAAAATGTGACCTGTTACAAAAATAATGGTGCAAAGATCATTTATTGCTCACAAGTTGCATTCAGTGGAGGACACTGAGACTACTTTTCTAGCCCACCAAATCAATGCCACCCAGAAAAATCCACACCTCTTAATAAAGGTTTCCCACAGTCCCTTAGTACTTGGAGCAGATGCTGCTAACACCTCTGTGTTGAAAAGTCATTATTAGTCTGGCTTTATTTCATGTGTCAGGAGAACAGCAATATTTGTGGTCTGCTGGGCAGAGGAGATAACTAAGGATTAAATTACCTACGTTCTTCCCTCGGCTCTGCAATTTTATGATTGTGTTAGAGAATAAACTTCCGTGAGTTCACCTGTTTCAGACATTTATGCAGCTCTGTTAATGGAGGAGGCAAAGTGATGTGAGTTTCTCAGCTTGTGGTGATCTGGTGCTGCTCAGGAGCACTGATACTCTTCTCCCTTCAGACTGAGTTCATCTCTGCCTGCTCATGTTATACCAGTGCCCTGCCCCTATCTACAATATGTCCAACAGGCATTCGGTGGACTAGCGTGAACACCATGCCCTCTGGTTTTCATCCTTCACCTCCTTACTGATGGAAGGTTTTTCCCATGACCTGTCCTACTGCAGTTCCAGCAACTTGTCCTGTTCATTGTGCACAGGTAAAGAACAGATTATTCCTTCCTCTCTGTAGCAAACTTCTATATGTTATCCTCTCTTCCTCAGCCAAATTTTCTCTAATTGAAACAGACTAAACCTTTTCAGTCTTTTATTACAGGCTATACAACAAAACCTGAACCTCTTTAACTCCATGCTGGTTGCCTATGAAGGCAAGATAAGTATTCTGCAAGAGCTGTGAGCTATGCAATTTCTGTCCACATTGCTGGCAATAGCTTGGGATCTCCCCTTTTATCAGAAGGGGTTCGAGCAACTGTATCTGATGATATATAGGATTGCCACTGGGTAGTTGTGCTGAATCCAAGAGCAGCTGAAGTTGTGTGACAGAGACCTTGGGACCATGCTGCAAGCACTCTCTGGATTTTCATTGTGATCTAAGATCACATTTATGTATTTACATTTATTAAGGTACATGGTTCCTTGAAGTACCCTCATGTGACAGATGCAAGTTGTGCCAGTTGGCAGACAATCCTGCTGAATTGCTTGTAGGATGTATAAAGGTTCTCCATAAATTTACGCCCAGTTACATGAAAGGTTTTGTTTGTTCAGGAAGTATATTCAGCCAATAATCATGGCATTGTTAAAGAAATCTCTATTCATCAATCTATCTAAGTAAAGCTATTACAGGAGTTAAAAAGTGATCCAAAGGATGAAAACAAACAGACTCTTTCCAGCTAATTGGGAAAGCAAGTTTCAGAATAATGAGTTCTGTGCCAAGGACCATGCAGCTGAAGTGTTTCAGTTGGGAGAACTCAGTACAGACAGGTACCTTCCACACCATTCAGTATATAGGTTAATATTAACATTAGGCATTGCGCATTTAACTCAATAGCCTAGGAAGCAGTGATCTGGTATGCATCCCTGCTACCACTATTAAACCTTGGATCTGTGTACAGTACTTGAACATACCCTCATGTACTGAGAACCTGCCAGAGAGGATACAAAACGCCTGTTTACACTCTGCAGCTTGCTCGCAGAGCAGCCCCCCAGTGCCCTGGCTGATTTGGATAATTTGGCTCGAGTCTCTTGGGAGCATGTGAACCATGACCACACAGCAGAGCTCTGGGATTAAACCTGGTATCTTGCCAGTCTCCACTGCTGTCTGCAGCTGGGGCTGGGCATCCCTGCACCTCCACATTACTGGGGTCAGCATGCACTTGCCCCATGCACTGCAGAGAACCATGCTGGCCTCTTCCTCAAAAGGTGACCAAGACCAATGAATGTGCACAAAAGCCTTTGTTGCAAAAACACACCACCTGCTTCTGCTGCCATTGCTTCCTCAACACATGCTGCCAGAGCCCCACCACAAAGAAACTTAGCCACTGGGGTGCAGGAAAAACAAGCTCAAACCAGGGCTATGGATGGCTACACACAGCAGC